GCTAGAGTCGGGAACGACTAGCACATATGTGCGAGGGGAACCTCTGCCTTTACCTAGGACTTGATTTCCAGACTCTTCACTCTCTTGGCAGTCCTTTTCTGAACTCACTCCCAGTCTGTCACTGCTCTTTTTGAGTTTTACGGTCTAGAATTCGAAGGCAACTGTGCTTCAAATGAGGTTGGACTGGAGCGGAGAAGAGCAGGACAATTACAACTCATATTGCCAATGTTCTGAAAGGTAGAACAGCCTGGAGACATCTTGCCAAAATTGAAAAGCGGCATATCCACTTTCAAAGTCACGAAGCCGTGTTTTTCGTCCCTTTGAATTATGAGTTGCAATTCCCACAGAGCCTGAAGACAGGTATAGAGTGGATGACATCTTGCTGTCCTAAATTCATCCAGTGTTGTGCACACAGAAAAGGAAGGAGGGGAGGGGGAAGGAAGACTCATCCTTTATTAATGATATAAATCAAATCCTAATCTTTCTAGCCCAGCTGCCTATGGGGTGTACTTGCCTTTAATGCTCTCATGGCCATCCTCAGCATGCACTAACCTCAGAACCAAATGGGATTTCGGAGGAACAGATGCCATCACTCATTACAATCAAATTATAAGCCTAGGCAGCAGCCTTCGTACCTTGCTATGAAACCCAGGGAGGGAGAGAAATAAAAATGAGGCCCAGGAGGCAACTCAGCATGGTTATCCTGCCATGTTTGCTTCTGGCCAGGGGAGATTGATGTGGCTGTTACATATCCCTACAAGAAGTAAGGATTTGCAATGAAATGATGATGTTGTGTCTCCATCCCTTAATAGGGTAGCTCCAGCCGAGAGCTTTGAACTCGCTCGGGAGATGGAGACTCAATTTTAAAACGGGTCTGGTGGTGGCTTCTGAAGAACAGTTTCTGAAGGGAGAACTGAAGGATTTTTCCTTCTGTTCCTTAAGCGAGGCACAAATTGCCTTTCTGAAGTCTCATGTGTGGGCAGAGAAATGGGGTGAGCAACCTCTTTGCATTCTACTCAGCGGAAAGGAGAAATTCTCCAACAAACTCTGAAGGGCAGGAAGGGAAGAAAATGGATATTGCATTCTCCTGATTCCTATGTTTCGAACTGTTGCAAGAAATGTCCTTCTGGGTTCAGCTCCAAGTGGGGAAAAAGACACTGGAAACATG